GAGAGAGAGAGAGAAAGAGGCAGAGGCCTTGTTAAGCACACAAGCGAAATAAGAACCGGAGAACAACTGACCGTGAAAACCCAATGACAGATTTATCGAAAAACGATCTAAAACTCTGGACCGAAACAGGCCACTAAAATCACTAAGTTTCGTGCAATATTTCGTTGCGTTACGGCGTTATTTATATCATCATTATGTAATAGGTACAACTTTTGAGACTCACAAACGTGGGGTATTGCTCTGTAATTAAGAATCACTTTAATCAAAGTCTTAAAACATCATTTTGTGCTACTATATGCATCACCGAAACGGGTGCAGGTATGCCTCCCTCTGATCAGCGCGACGATCTTCTCGAGAGCTTCTTGCTCTAAGCGGATTTTTACTCTTAATAACCAGTCGAGCGTTTATCCGTAGCACATCCGGCCATTGTGGCGGCGCAAACACCGTTTCCAAATATATTCCATTCAGTGGAGAGCTTTGCTTTCTCCCGGTGGTTGAGTAAATCCGAATGGTAATGGCCGCCGGCTACGAGCGACGGCACTTATCCCGAACGTAACGATCTCGCATGCTCGAACTACTCGCGTCACAGACAGACTCTGCTCGTATTTACGACGGTGGCGGTTCGTAAATTCTTTTCGCAAACAAAGCTGAATGCTACACTCGACTTGTTCGCGGCATTTGATTATTTTTTTTCCTACGTGGTCGCGTGCTGGATGACGATGAAGTCCGATGGATTTCGCGACTTGCTCATCACTTTTAACGTTTAGTTACTTTACATTACTTTTTACATTGCTTGATATTTTCATGTCATGTTAAAATAATTTAATATAATAATGCAAGCATTACTATATTAATTGAACATAATATAGTTCAAATCTCTAATCAATAATTGCAATTATATTTAAACATATTAAAAAATTATAAAATTATATTAACAAATCCTTCCACATATTAAAAAAGATTTCAAGATTTAACATCAATCATCTTGACAACAGAAGATCAATCTGAATTAAAATTCTGAAGAATAAGGTTCTCTTGCATATAAATGCATAAATTTTTAATAAATCTCTCAGAAAACTGAATGCCCTTTGTTTTCAATCGTTTCTAATTTCAACAAGTTACCTACATTTTGATTTTTAATTTTCTTTTAACTAAAAGAAAAATAATTAATCTCGCATTAATTGATTCATTACCATCAAAGCGCTTTTATTTACATCATCTGGAATTTATAAGATTAAACCATAATTATGTCCTTATGTTACAAAGAAACTTTGCCTCTTCGCATCCTATCTTAATTATCGACGAATCCTTATGTTTATATCAAAATATCGTAAAACACAGGGCGCCATTTTGTTATAGACTGATAGCGAGTCGATATCCCGTCGGCATTGGCGGTCTGTTCTACCCGTCGACGCTGCAGCATCTCCACCAGCAGCAGCAACAACAACATCAGCACCATTCACGACTGGCCGCCGCAGCCTCGTCCGCCCTCAGCAATGCCGTGCAGGTCGCTGGCCAATCGCCGGATATCGTCGACGCCGACGGCATTCGTGGTGTTCTACTCGGCGGCGCCGGCTGGCCGTTTCCATGGAGGCCGGCGCACGGCCTGCAGACACTCGAGCATCCCTCACCGAGCGACGTGGTCGGCACTCTCAGTCGCGTCAGTCCCGCGTCCGCGTCTTTCCCGCAGCGAGGTGAGTTTTCGATTCCCTCCTCCTCTCCTCTCTCCCAGGCATGCCCAGGCAGATCGAGACGGCTTATTAAGGATAATCCGAGGGAAAACGCGCGCCGCGGTCGGAAGGAAATGTTAACATTGTTTCGCAACAGTGGTTCTGGAACATCGGCTTTCGCCGAGCCAGACAGAAGTATGGTAATACGAAGCGTTTTCCCTTTTTGAGATTTTTTTTTTTTTTTTTTTTTGGTTAAGTAGAAGACCGAAACACGAAGAGATGATGATAATTTAGATTTCGTATGTTTTATATGCAATAGAATATTTCTTCTTAGAAATAATAATCAAATGATAATCAAATTATTCCAGCAAAAAAAAAAATAGAAATTACGTCTATTTATAAAACAAGGACGTGCTCCGAAAGAAAAGATTAAGTGAATAAATATTCTCGGCTACATAAATATTTCATTATTCGCTCTGCCTGATGCAATAATACGAAGCAAGGTCACAAACAGCAATTAATTAATTAATTAATTGATGTACTATTAATCCTATTATTGTTACATAACAATGACATTTAATTATTATCTCATAGAGTCAGCTAAACTTTTTCAGCTCGATTAACAATGTCAGAATCTTTCTCACTACTCTCAGTCAGAAATTCCAAAGATGCGCCAGAACCGCGCAGACCGATAACTCGAGACGATCGAACTACGCTAACTCATATAGATCGCGAAGAAAGGACGAAGGAAAACGAGGGTTAACGTGGGGAAATCTTTGTAGACATATACAGATATATTGTCTGCGTGCGCGTTATAGACGCGTTCTATGTGTATCTATGTGTATATCTTCGCGTATACAACCTACGCGTAAGGCTTCCACGGCTTCCACCACGTCGACAAACCAACGTCGATCGCCTTACCCGCCGATCGTTTTGCTTCTGCCACCTTGTCTAAGCACTTAGGCAGTTACCATTCTCACCTATGGACGACACATGTGACGTACGCGTGTGAACGTTCGTTTAGTTTCTTATAACGAGCAAGATTCTTTAGCAGTGGATAATGATAACGAGGTTAAAATGATCGCTATCGAGCATTATTTTTGTCTATAAATCCGATGATGATAGAAAAAATCTCTAATTTTCTTTTAAATCGGTAGTTTTTGTCGAAAATAAAATGGATATAATTTACAACTAGCACAAACAAATAAGACAGAAAAGGAAATATTTAAGACTGTACAGGAGAGAGATTGACAGATTTTTTTTTTTTTAATAAATCTTGTTTTAATGGTAATAATAATAATTCTTATTCTATGAGCAAAAAATGATGAACAGCACATATTTTTAAAAATACATTCTGCTTGATTATATTTCCTGGGTATAACAAATATCGAATTATTGATTATAAAAAAGGATTGTATCTAGTTTCTACTGACTTTTTGTCTGTGCCACGATTATTTGTAGAGAGAAAGAATTAAACGCATTCTGCACACGCACGATAATGACATTTTGCCACAAAATGATCATATTTTTATTTTCAATCGATTAATATGGATCACGAGAGTATCGTACGCCAATTAAAAAGGCACATAAGGCACATAAAGAAAATATTTATCGGAAATGAACAAATCGTTGTATGTTTTATTGTTTCCTTTATTATATTCTCACATACTACAAAAAGAGATACGACATCATAACGGTATTTCATACAAACATGCATACACGACAAATTACGTCATTGGATGATGCATCTGCATCGATAACGGCATAGGGAATTCAATACGCAGCAATTACGTCAAAATGGATTAATAGAATATTAATTAGCGTTCTATTAATTGATTAAATATTCAATACGGATAGAGAAATGTATAATGGCGATTTATCGGAGCGCGTGTGAGAGAATTTGTAAATTCAAAGCGCTCTCGCCAGGCTGATTGACGTATACGGATCACGTTTAAAAAGAAGAGCGATTAACGCGCTTACCTTTCTCTCGTTAACGATTTGATTATATCGATAAATACACGCGGTGTGTGTCTTCCATACTTCTCACGCGTTACAAATATCATTATCGTTATGTGATATCACAATCCTGATCTCCGCGAGCTTTGCGCCATTAATCAAACTTATCCCGCTCGCTTACTCGTTAAGAACAATCCCGGTTAGAGAGATATAATAATCCTCGTAAATAAAGAGATCTTTGTTTCAGTAACTTGCGAAACAAAAGAAATAATTTACAGAAAAGCATAACTCTAGAAACAGCTATCGATTTCGAGTAAAAAAGTATGCTCGGAAGCTCTTGATCGCGATGATGCGCAAAGATAAAAGTGTATTGGAGAAAGAAAGTAATTATAATTTTCTTTATATACAGAGAAAGAATTTCAAGATAAATATATGATTCGTGAAAGAGGCATTGTGAAAACACGGAGAAGCTATGTTGTGATTGAAATCAACACGAGTGTATCTTTCTTCAGACGAACTCGACGACGACAACGGTGATGATCGCTTGCACCGCGCGAGGAGTCCGTCGAGCGGCGACGAGGCACACGACGATCTCGGCGAGGCGGACGACTGTGCGGATGGCGATGGCGAAGGCGAATCCACGTCGACGAGTCTTCACGGCACTTCGGTGGGAGGTAGCGGTGGCGGTGGCGGCGGCGGCGGCGGTGGTGGTGGAGGTGGTGGCGGTGGCGGAGGCAACGGCAACAACAGCGGCCAGAACAATGTACAAGTTGGTGTGGATGGTCGCGAATCGAATAGCATTAAGCGCAAGAAGAAGACAAGGACGGTGTTCTCCAGGTCGCAAGTCTTTCAGTTGGAGAGCACGTTCGACATGAAGCGCTATCTCTCGTCGTCGGAGCGCGCCGGCCTCGCCGCCTCGCTCAGACTTACGGAGACCCAGGTGAAGATCTGGTTCCAGAACCGGCGGAACAAGTGGAAGCGGCAGCTAGCCGCCGAGCTGGAGGCGGCGAACATGGCGCACGCTACCCAGAGACTGGTCAGGGTGCCGATCCTATACCACGAGGCGTCAGCCGGTCACCGGCACTTCCGCCGGGGTATCCGTGTCGGTGACGGCGCCGGGACCGGCGGGACCTCCGGTGCCGTCCTCGGTAGGCGCGACCTCCGCCCTGTCGCATTCGGTCGGCGTCGGGGTCGGCGTGGGCGTCGGCGTTGGTGTCGGCGTCGGCGTCGGCACTTCGTGCGCGCCCACCACGGCGCAGCCCATCTTCTATTCCCATCACCATCAGCATCACCATCACCACCCGGCGGCGGCCCATGTGCAGGCGCACAGTCTCCTGTCCCACCAGGTGCACCCGCAACCACCGCCCCCGCCACCGCCGCCGCCCAACGGCCAACCACCGCGGACGTCCTCGCAATAACACCGTCCGACGACTTACGAGGGTAGCGTGCGGCTGCTGCGGGAGACGACGACTCTGAACAAGATGATCTCCGTAAACGACGCGGCGACGCCTTCTCGTTTGGACCGCGCCGTCTGGCTGATCAACGTCGACGAATGAACGCACGCTTGATAATTGGCACTCCGGGCCTCCGGTCGTCCCGCGACACTCCCTGAGACCGATCCCGCGATACCACGGACACACGACACGGCTGTCCCCTCGGCGGTAATTCGAGAGCGTTGGAATTCGAAAATGGTTTTCTAATGCGAACTCGCGACCGCGCGGGCAATATGGATAAATGTGAGTATGCGCGAGGAATGTAGAGTTTTAATTCGCTTTTACATCTCAATTACATAAGAGAAATTATCTCATTAAATCTAATGTTAAAAGTGCACTTTATTTTTTATCGGACGATGCGCTCTAGTGATGATTATTTTATTGAAAAAGTTCGTATAAATGTACGTAGGATATTTTCTCTTGTAATTGTCCATATTCATAATTATTTGAAAAGCTAGTGTAAGATACATTTTTGAATGTACACTCATAAGTAAGAAAGTGTAGAAAAATATTTTACTTACACAAATTTCAGATATAATACTAAAAACAAAATTACATTCACACAGAATATAAACTTAATGAGTTGAAACTCTACGTTTTCTTAGCATAACTTTATACTCATGTCTATTCACATCTTTTATCCTTATCTAGGAAAATGTAATCTCTTGCAAATAATTTGATAAAATTATTTTTCATATTTGATAAAAAGGCTTTAAGACAATTCGTTTACCCCGAAATAAAATACCAAAAAAATGTGCTAAAAATAATATACAATATACGTTCTAGTAATCATATTATCGTAAAAATAATAGATTCCCAATTATTATGTCTAACTAACATTGGACAATATCCCATTTTTAGTAATGTTATTTATCTCTTCGGGAAAACGAAAGACACTTTTGTCTTATACCTTTTTCTACCGAGCCGTAAAAATACTTGTGCTAGTCCGCGCAATTATGCAGGGAATTAAACTGTGATTATAATGATTTTATGTCGCTTCCTTGAGTCACAGGTGACGAAAGCTGGCCACGAACTCATACGGTTTCCCTTCCAGTTTGTCATCGATGTAATAATAGCGCATCGTGTCTTGTTGCTCTTAGTTTGTATTATAACGGGATGCAAAATTTCACAGTACCGCAATCGACGGACGGAAATTAGACTCTATATTGGATTCTCGTAATACATATATCGATTCTGATATATATATATATATATATATATATATATCGGAGAGATATAGGATCTTTGTAGATAGTATAATGTATATTAGTAGCGATTCTCTCTCTCTGATTTTGCGCGCGAAGAAAAACAATTCGCGCGAATACGAGAATGAAAATTTTCGAACCGTCCCTAACTGTGCGACGCCCGTTATCTTAATTATGAATTTCGAATCGTATCCGTTTCTCTAATCGTTTGTAAATAACCCCTGTAAATAATCTTTGTGCAAAGTGTAATTCGCGATGTGGAATTCTGCGCGCCGAGGGGCACGCGCTGTGAATCGATGACCGGAAGAACTTCGTTAATATGATCCAAGGATTAAAATGTCGGTGCAACTTTGGCGAGTTGAATTTTCAAGAGACATGGAACAGTGAGCGCTTCACGCTTAACATTGTATTTTCATCGTCACGGATATAAGCGCGGAGATCGTTTCCGCGTGTCTACAGAAATTTGAACTCGCTGGAATTGCACTGGTATCAATACCTGATGTAACCGGGATTCGCTGTGGTTGTAAAATTGAACATATAGACACACAGGCAGAGATAGGCATACGCATATATGCACACACACACACACACACACACACACGCGCGCGCGCGCGCGCACACGTACACACACGTAAGACACAGGTAGGGTTCCTACGATATATTCCACCTGTTGTGATAAGTATCTAAACGAATAATTTTATAAACAGAACGGTAGAGTTACGAAATTCCGCCTCTCTCACATTATATATCACCTATCTATAGACGTCAATTAAGGAGAAGGTTCGCCGTACTGTGTTTTATACGGATATTTACGTGATCCGGGATCTCAAATTATTGTACAGCCGATCGTTTCGTAATCGCTAAATAATGATCGTTAAACCATACAATACACGTCGTTCGAGTTTTCTCTACTCAAGATCTACGTCGAGCAGATCCACATTGGCGATCGTCGATCTTGTTTGCGAAGTAACAGGGAAAATACGTAGATTCGACGACATACGGTGGGATCGACGAACGATCGAATAAAAATACGAATATCGTTTAAATTGCGCTTTTTTCTACCGTGGTGCCCATAAAGAGATAGCAGCGAAACAATGGAACACGCACCGATGGCGTTCACATAAAAATCCGAAGTCCAGGATTAAAATTAATTGTTGTTGCGGCTTCGCAAGGGGTCCCCGTGAACTAAACAAATTGACACAGAGATAAAATGCAACGTTCCGCTTTCAAAATAAAATCAACCGACGATTCTTTGATGGAATCGCCATTCGAACGGATCGAGAAGTGCGTCGGTTAATAAAACCATTGATTCACATTTATATTGCCGTCTTGTCTCGTGGACACGAAATGAGAAAGATCACTGACGAGATTTATTTCATCATTACAGGTTCTAAATTTTTCATGAACGAATGTCAAAAGAAATGATACAATGTGATAAATTCTCTCTCAAAATTATAAGTTAACATTCAAAAATATTTTTTATGAAATTCTTTAGACTTTATAAAATTATATAAATATCTGTGATCTAAACGATTTCTGCATTCAAAAGAATCTGCATATGACGGTCATTAATTCACAGTCAATTTGCAAAGAGTTCTTTTTCCTTTAAGCGATGAACCAACGAACCGTGAGATAAAAAATTTAAGGGAAAAGTCAAGTCGTACATGTATAATCATTTCCTACGAGTCCGATTAATTACGCTTCAAAAGATTTTACCCTTCAAATCACCAATGAAAAAAAAAAATAGAAATAAAAATTAATAGCGAGACCTCGGCTGACAAAAAATATACGCAGATTTCTGATAAATGTTCTTAATTATCGAACATCCAATTACTCGCCACGATGTGTAACGCGTATCAAAAAATGAAGGCATATCTGTCGGACGCCTGTGACTTATCGCCGCGCAATCAGAAACACATACGATTATTCGCGTATGTGTGTGATTTTTTTCACAACGCCACTCATTCACGCGCTCGTCAAACGCGGCGGCACGTGTCTGCACGCGCACACGTATTCACGCGTGTCGCTTCTCGCATCCTTCGCGTTTTGAAAACGGCGAAGCTGGCAGTGCGACCACGAGGGAAAACCCGATGTGACAATGCACCTGCACCGCCCACGTTTCGCATCCGTCGCACATGCAGCTGGCGCATACAACGTATCCCGAGTAAGTAACGTAAGTACTTGCACTTCAATCAACCTCGCACCTCCATTCGCGCCTCCGTCTTTTTTGCTCCCCTGATCTCTCTAGATCTGCCTTTTTATCCATGAACTTTATCTCTTTCTCTCTTGTCTCTCTTCCTTCCCTTCCTTTATCGACGTTTTTGTCTCTCGCTCACCATCCGTGTTCCACACTTTGTCCACCTTGTCCTCACCGTCACGATTCTAGGATGTCTCATCTCACAATATCCACGATGACTTCGTGGTCCAGGCGGAATCGCTCTGGTATTGCAGATGATATTGTCTCTTTCAGTGTTACCGCAATTCATGCACTGCACTGCTGTGTACTCTGTACGATTGAGTTGTTCGCGTTATACTATCATTCATCGGAAGAACGGATATTCGAGAGATATTCGTGGGTATCTCTTGGATATTGAATGACCGAATATATTACAGGACATTTCGATATTCAATACATATCCGAGATATGATCGCTGGACATATGCATCGCATCTGTCTGTAGGAATAAATTTACAGATACGCATTAAAAATAATAAACGATAAAATATAAAGATTTATTAAATATATCTTTTGTAAACAGGAATTTTAGGGTTTGGAACAGTTTTTTTGAGGGCATGCGTAAAGTGAGCAGTTATCATTTTTACAAAATATTACCAAATTTTTTACGATAATATCAAGAAACTGTAAAAACAACGATAAGTGTTTCAAGTAATGAGATTCTCTCAAAGTGTCTAACATCACGTAACTTTGATCCATCTCCAAGATTGCGTCGAACATAATGGGTTCGCTCGAAACTGACTTTACGTAAAAATATATTTCGACAAATATATCGCGGATATATTGGAGACCATCCAAACATTTTCACAAGACTTTTGTTGTTCATAAACGTAGAGTCGATAGCGAAAAATTATGTGTGTACAGTGCGTCGTGTTGTAAAACAAAAAAAAAAAGAAAAAAGGAAAAACGAACGTCTCGTTAGAGAAAAATACCGAAGTTGCGTATACAGAGGGAGAGCAGCATATATAAAATTCAAATCGATTATTATCTAATATTCCATATTATCGAATAGCGATTGCAAAATTAATAAGAAGGCTTCTACCTTCAATATTATCATTTATTAATACCGGTAAGCAGCGTGATTAATCTTCCCGAATAAACTGATCAAAATCTCAATTTCAAATTGTAACATAACGTTTTAATAATTAATTTCCGCGTAAAAATAATGAAATTAAAAAATAATGAAATTAATACAAATCAAACATTAATATAAATCAAATATAATATTATACTGGATCATTATTACTATTAATTCATTTATGAAAAGCAGAAGAAATAAAAAATTATCGTTTAATTAAATATATCGGTATATTAATCAAGCGAGGCGAGCAAAAAATTCAATGCTGCAATCCAAAATGCTATTGATGGGAAAAATATTTGCAAATATGTTACCCCTCAGTTATTTAAAAATGATTTTATCACGTAATTTGAAAAGTGTGTAAAGAATGCCCCGGTGTTTCGTAATTTGTATAAAGCTTATTATCTAAAGCTGCATTTAGACGCATGACGTGTGTGCACCGATTAGCTCAACCCTCATCGTGTTGCCCCCTCAGTTTGAAGAGAGATTTTCCGGTTTTTAAAAGCATATCGAAATCGTGTTTGTCGAGGATCGAAAGTTCACCGGCTCATTGTCGCCGGCAATCCGGAGTCGAGTTGCAGTCCTCTCGCGCCACCACGCCCTCCTCCCTCCTTTTCCTACCATATCGTATCCCAGAGTAATTTAACACGTAAGGGGATGACAACGGACTTGAAACCCGCGTCCTTTTAAGGACCCGTAAGCGATGATCGTGTTACAACGCTGAATTCATAAAATTTGCCGGGACCAATGAGTTTTTCTTATATTCTTATATCGATTGTAGCGGTTAATAGCACTGACAAAAGAAAGTAGCAACAAAGTAGCTCGCAAATTCCTGTCACAGATTAATTGAACAAATGGTGATCTATTATTTTTAATATTACAATAGATCGGTATAGACGACAATTTTCAGATTCAAATTTAATAAAATAAGAAGATAAAAAAGAGAAAGTCACATTTACTGCTGAAATTTGCAGGAAGATTTTCAAAGGACTTAATTTCCAAAACATTTCCATTAATTTCAAATATTGTATTGATATTTATGATAGATATGTAAAGAAAAACGTCCTAAAATTGTAATAATATTAAATATACAAAAAAATCATACTTTTATCAACTTCTTTTTAATATCTCGCGATATATATCTTTGAAAGTCATTAAATCGGGAATGAGTAATTAGATACTTGTATACTCTCTTTTAAATCACCGTTATTACAGAGACAATCCTGTGTGGTGTGTACTACGTCATCCTCGAGATGTCATCCGTTTTCGTGCGTGACCGAATTACCCCGATGAGATGCGGATTGATAAAGAATTAATTGTCACTCCTGCCACCCATCCAAGGTCATTTAATTTGCTCGCAACCACGTCGATCGGCTAATCGAGTTAATTACCGTGCGCCAGGACAACACGACGATGACTCTGCGACAGCTGTAGCGACACGAAATAAAGTAGATGACCGTCGCAGATGACGTCTCTCTCTCTTTCGGAGGGTGGGCGCACGGTCGATTTATCGCGGCCCATTATCGCCGCCACGATCGTTCCGTGACCATTATTACCTGCCCGCCCGTAAAGAGGACTCGTGGCCGGATAATTACTCTAATGGAATAATTTTTTTTGGAAAAATCTATCGTTGATGCCGCGGGTGCGCACGACACGGCAACAACAAAGGCCACACCCCGAAGAACTGGCGTTCGCGATCCGGGGCTCGTTAACCGCACATATACGACCTCTCGTAAAAGGGAAAACGATAAACGCAGAAATGAACGAATAAATGTATCGAGCTCGATTATCATCGCGTTACTAATCGTCGGAAAACGCAGCTCTCACACAAATTGCGAAAATTGTAATTATATATCCTCTTTGATCGAACGTTTCACTCGTCGATCTATTTTTAGTTTTACAG